GAATCAAATCGAATCGTGAAATTTGTGTCAAAACCCAGCCCTAATCTTGGATGACCTGAGGGAAGAGTACATTTCCAGCAAATTTCCATTTTGGGCTGAACTATTCCTTTAATGCTTATAATGGATTACAAACTCTGAAAAATAAATGATTTGTTAATGAAAGTGGCATCAAATCTCCTGCACGAACATTCATTCCATTCATCATTTCACCTTTGGCTTCATTGAAATTGGCACATGAACAAACCGGCAGTGATTCTCCAGGACCATAACTGTGAAGTGTGTTCAAATCTTTTTAATATGCACAGCTAACTAGAAGTAAACCATTAGTGTAAATATCGACACCTCTGGGCTCCTTGTGTGGAAATCTGAAACAACTTTTCCAAATCAGCAAGTTCTGGGTAACGGACATTTTTAATATCGGACAGAAAATAATCATTCAAAACATCTTCGATCACAAATGACGGGCTCTGATTGGTCACACACACACACAGACACACGGCTGGAACCGATCCCAAATCATCCGGAAACACATGGAATGACTGGACAACAAAAACACAACTGAAAGCTTGAAAATATAATAATATTACAAAACAAGCAGATGGTTGGCCCAAGTAAAAATCTGGACATTGTCATTGAGTTTTTAAAACATTCATCATAAAAACAAAGCCGAGTGGTCATGTTTTAACCCTATTAAATAACGAGAAACTGACAGATGGATGGCTTGACGTGCTCAGTGCACATTTACGAGACAAATAAAACAAGCTGCATGAGTGTTTCTGCGTTAAACTTTACTGGAGTGAATCAAACAAAACTAGTGGAGTGCTAAAATCCGCTTCCGCTGTGCTATTCTACCACATCCTACGGCGATTCGCTTCAAGTATCCGTAGTACCGTCGAAACATTTCCATTCAAGTGAGAGAGTCACGCAATCGTGCTCCAAAAACTGGTGGGAAAAGGAAATCGAAAGGTTTGTGAGAACAGGAAGACTGCGCTGATGAAAGACAAGTGCACATGTGCGGGATCCTGAGTGCATGCTGTGGGAGGGGCGTCCGTGGGTCATGTGACGTGTGAAGCGGGTCATGTGACGCGTGTAAAGGGTCTGAGATCTGAACGAAGGTCTTTTCATCAGAGATATTAGCACAATTTTCAGACGAAGTCTTGATATATTTCCATGAGATAATTAACTTTTATAATTATTACAAGAGTAGCCATAGAAATTAATGTCAAGGGGAGGTTCTTCTGTGGCAGCGGTGACACGCTAGCGTTCAAATTCAGTTTTTTGTTCTTTCTATTTTGTATTTTTTTGCTCGTTGTTTTCGGCGGTTCGCCACACGACACTGCACGAGTCCGTGAGCGCTAAAGAGCGTCTGCTCGTGAGGAGTTTGTTATTTTGTGGTTTATTAGAGTCGCGTCTGAGCCTCGGGGACGTAGATCTCAATGCTTTCGGCGCTCTCGGTGGCAGAGTTCTGTCGTTCAGAAACCGCTCGCTTGGCCGCCATCAGCCGCTTTCTGGCCTCCTGCCGCTGCTTGTCGGCCACCGAGTCGCTGCTTTTCTCCTTCCCTCCGGAGGTTTTGACCTTTACTGTCTTCTTTGGTGTGTGAGCGGACTTCTTCTCCTCCTGAAGACATTCATTCAACAATTAAAATCTGATTGTGTTCAATATTGCACTCATTTGTAAAATAAAAAACATAAATATACATCTATAAAATTCATTTACAAAATAAAACCTGTAAAAAATACTGAAGATGTTATTATTTTTAACGATTAAAACAAATTATTAATAAATAAGAAAATATTAATATATTTAATCATTTTTAATTAAATAAAATACAATAAAAAAAGAAATAAAATTTGTAACTATTAAAATACATTATTAATATATTATATTAATTAACAATAAAATATAAAATGCGTTTATAAAATACATATTAAAATAAATGTAATTATTTTTAAAATAAAATACAAAAAGAATATAATGTATAAAAATCTAGTATTACATTTCAAAAATAAGAAAACATAAAAAAATCAAGTAAATATTAAATTAATATTATTTTTAAACATTAAAATTATTATTAGATTTATAAAAAGAATATTTAATAGGGATGCACCGAAATTTCAGCCGTCGAAAATGACATTTACGTTTTTTTTCCTATGTAGAATACTTGCACCTGTTTGCAACAGTGCTGTAACATGGCAAAGCTGGTCAAATGGCGCTCCCGTCTCGTTCACTGATCTGCTGCCCGCTCTGCTCTGCTCACACGCTCTGATAAGAATAGCTTTGAAGGACTTTACATTATTTGGATAATTGGTCCAAAAAAAAAACAAAAAAAAAATCTGTTAAATCTGATTCGTTGCATAGAACTGAATAAGATAAAATATATTGATATTTAATATTAATATATTTTCTGTCCAATTTGTTGTGTTACTTTCAATAAAAGTATGGTAATTTTTTTAAGCTTATTTTTTTTTAAATTCAGTATTATTAAAATTATTGAGCTAAGTTTCAAAGTCTTACAAAATTACTTTATATTATTTAATAAAATAATACATAATTATTAAAAAGCATTTTTGGTTCCGGTTTCAGCCCAGAATTTTCATTTCAGTGCATCCCTAATATTTAATCATTATTATTACCTTTTAACCTTTTAAAATACACTATGCTAGTTTATAATATTAAACACATTTATAAAATTCATACTAAGTTAAATATTAAATTATTTATAAAATAAAATACAGACATTTATAAAATAAATTACATTTTACATTTCTAAAATATAAAATAATATTTAATAAGTATAAAATAATATTTAACCCCCCAAAAAAGTATTAATATTATCATTAATATTACTTTTTAAACTTTTAAAAACATTGTTAGCTTAAAATTTAATATTAAAAAAAAAACTATAAAATAAAAATAAAATGCATTTCTCAAAATAAATATTGAATTTAATATTTATAATTTAGTAATTTATAAAATAATAAAATATATATATATACAGTGGTGTGAAAAAGTGTTGGCCCCCTTCCTGATTTCTTATTTTTTTGCATGTTTGTCACACTTTAAACACTAGTAAAAGGTAACACAAGTGAACACAACATGCAGCTTTTAAATGAAGGTTTTTATTATTAAGGGAAAACAAAATCCAAAACTACATGGCCCTGTGTGAAATGACGAGACAAAAGTTGATCTTTTTGGAAGGTGTGTGTCCCATTACGATTGGCGTAAAAGTAACACTGCATTTCAGAGAAAGAACATCATACCAACAGTAAAATGTGGTGGTGGTAGTGTGATGGTCTGGGGCTGTTTTGTTGCTTCAGGACCTGGAAGACTTGCTTGTGATAAATGGAACCATGAATTCTGCTGTTTACTAAAAAATCCTGAAGGAGAATGTCCGGTCATCTGTTCGTGACCTCAAGCTGAAGTGAACTTGGGTTCTGCAGCAGGACAATGATCCAAAACACACCAGCACGTCCACCTCTGAATGGCTGAAGAAAAACAAAATGAAGACTTTGGAGTGGCCTAGTCAAAGTCCTGACCTGAATCCTATTGAGATGCTGTGGCATGACCTTAAAAAGGCGGTTCATGCTCGAAAACCCTCCAATGTGGCTGAATTACAACAATTCTGCATAGATGAGTGGACCAAAATTCCTCCACAGCGCTGTAACAGACTCATTGCAAGTTATCGCAAACGCTTGATTGCAGTTGTTGCTGCTAAGGGTGGCCCAACCAGTTATTAGGTTTAGGGGGCAAACACTTCTTCACACAGGGCCATGTAGTTTTGGATTTTGTTTTCCCTTAATAATAAAAACCTTCATTTAAAAACTGCATGTTGTGTTCACTTGTGTTATCTTTTACTAATATTTAAATTTGTTTGATGATCTGAAACATTAAAGTGTAACAAACATGCAAAAAAAAAAAAAATCGGGAAGGGGGCCAACACTTTTTCACACCACTGTATATATATATAAAAGGTACACTAGCACATTATATTAAAGTAATTAAAGTATATTAAAGTAAATAAATGGTAATGATTAAATAGTAATGTAATATTTATTTGATAAATGTTTTATGTGTGTATACATTTATCAAATAAATATTACATTACTATTTAATCATTACCATTTATTTACTTTAATATATTGTGCTAGTGTATCATTTACTACATTAACACAAAATTAACACAAAAAATACATTATATACTGCCTACTATATATTTTTTTACAAGTAGTATCTGACACACTTCATTTTCATCACATGACGTTATTACAGATGAACAGCTCCAATATGGCGCTACAAAGTTTTAGATCTAAATACGGAAGAATATCCACAAACTGCATTTTTATTCTACTTTCACATTGTCTATACAAGTAAAGCGACATGTTACAGGGGTTAAAGCAAAAAAAATCCTGAGCCTGAACTTTTTTCTGGGGGCGGGGGCAGCACATGCAAAGCATGCAATTACTGTGGCAACTTTAACATTTGAAAGGATACTATGGCAAAGTTATCGCTTTCTTTATTCAAACTGATTTTTTTTTCATGAATATATGGTTGACCTGAAGAATGAAAGCTGTATCATACACTTGGAAAATTATGAGCTATATCACCGCTTATCGACACTAAGGGTGTGACAATACAACTAGCTCACGAGATGAGACAAAATACAGATACTTGGTTCACTAGAATGTGACGATATTTTAATACTATTTTTAAGAAATTTTCAATAACAAAATATTTGTCTTTTAATTACGAAAAGTAAAACAATGCAGTTGTATTTTGAAATATTTTAACTAATCTAGGGCTGTAACTAATGATTATTTTGGTAATCAATTAATCTACTGATTATTTTGACAACTGAGTACTGATATTTTTTATTAACACAAACAGACCTAAGTGAAAGTGACTAAGTGACTATTTATATATAAACTAACGATGAGGCAATAACAATTGGCTCAAATAAAAAATAAAAACCAAGAAATTACATGATTGTATTGAACAACACTGTTAAAATTCATAATGTAATATGCCTATACACATAATATGAACATAACCAACTTAAGTACATTATGCATTATAACAAATACCTGGTGATGTTACACTTTACAGCGTGACTAAACGATGTTTAAATCCATTTAATTTTAATATCTGGCCACATGCAAACTCAGAAACTTTTATTTTGAAATCGTGATGTACAATAAATGGCATATTTGTAAATAGGCTGGTGTATTCTCTTGTGTTGGCAAAGGTTTATAAATGATTTACGTTACAAATCTAGTGAGATAACAACACACACTGTTTTCCCAGATGAATGTTAAGCAATTCAAATTCACAGCATATGCTGAGGAAGAGTTTAGCCCCTTTCACACAATACAGACTTTACTGGTAAATTACCGTTAAGAGATCATGTGTGAACAGGACCTTTTCAAAAATCCCGGTAAATTTGTTCTGGCAATCATATGGTTTTATGGAGATGACATGATTACTCTGAGCTGTTTACAAAGCTCCGCTGCGTTTTAATTAGTTATTCTATGTAAATATGCGCTAGATGGACATCTTTGACCATTGCGCCTCGCTGCTTTTTGTCGTGCTTCTCCATTCATCAGGGCTGCGACTCTGGGATACTATTATGCGCGTCTCCTGTTTATAAGAGCAAAACATTCTGATTGGCTAGTAATGTTAGTTTGGTTGAGAGTGAAAGCTGTGCTCCTCTCATACCATTGGTTGGTGAACTCATGGACTCGAAAGTGATAATCAACAAACAAGATTTTTTTTTAAATGTAGGATTATTTTTTTCCGCAGCCAAACGCTGCACGCCAGAGATCCGGCACGGTGCCGGAGAACTTTAAGCCCTGCATGTTAGGATGCTAGAAAGGTTTGTCAGTTGGACCTTTTTGTCCTGTGTCTCAGACATCTTCCAGTCGTTGGACCTGAGGAGGTGGAGCTCGTCAAACTTCATGCTGATGTCCTCGATGGAGAGCTGCAGCAGATCCCAGAACCCGGCCAGATCCTGCGCTGTGGGCCGCGGCTGAGCGCTCGCATCCTGACCGAAAACACACATCACACATGAACTACACAGCTTCAATGCACTTTGAGTCACTGTGGATAAAAGAATCTGCCAAATGCTTAAAAACAAGACAAAAAACGTCTGGAAGAGAATCGAAGTCTGTCCACTTCAAGTCCACTGGATCTTTTTTTGTGTCAACACATATTTGTAATATGATCTTGTTTTCAATTGGAAACAGCTAACAAGAATAATACGACAAAACAGCAGAGAATAGATCCGGCACGGTGCCGGAGAACTTTAAGCCCTGCATGTTAGGATGCTAGAAAGGTTTGTCAGTTGGACCTTTTTGTCCTGTGTCTCAGACATCTTCCAGTCGTTGGACCTGAGGAGGTGGAGCTCGTCAAACTTCATGCTGATGTCCTCGATGGAGAGCTGCAGCAGATCCCAGAACCCGGCCAGATCCTGCGCTGTGGGCCGCGGCTGAGCGCTCGCATCCTGACCGAAAACACACATCACACATGAACTACACAGCTTCAATGCACTTTGAGTCACTGTGGATAAAAGAATCTGCCAAATGCTTAAAACCAAGACAAAAAACGTCTGGAAGAGAATCGAAGTCTGTCCACTTCAAGTCCACTGGATCTTTTTTTACACATATTTGTAATATGATCTTGTTTTCAATTGGAAACAGCTAACAAGAATAATTAATACGACAAAACAGCAGAGAATCCAGCACAATAATGCTGTGACAGAGAGCCAGCAGAGGGCGCCGATCATCAGCATTCTGCTGCCTCAACAACTCAACCTCATATGAGAGAGTTTCTGATGATCCGAACACCAGCAATGTGATGAAAATATTTCACAGGAAATCATGTATGGCGGGACTAGATTTTATCCAGCAGGATTTGAGTGTAACCAAGTCATTATAGGCTGGTATAGGGCTGCACAATTAATTGAACTTCTAATCGTGATTGCCATTACGCATGCCACAATTACGTAATCGTTCAAAGCGGCAATTACAAAAAAAAAAGTCCACTTCCATTATTCTGCGTGCTTAAGATGTGTGTTTTTCTTTCTATAGGTTATCTTAAGAGTTTTAGTTTTAGTATAACATTATTAATTCATTACATTTTCATTAATCTTAAAATATATAATTACATATTAATTTCAATTAAATTAATAAAGATGAAATAATGATAATTCTTTATTCCCAAAGTATATTAGGAATAAATTAAAAATAAATAATAAAAAGATAAATTATATGCTTTTTTATTTTTATACTACTCATAAGTTGTCAGCAGAAAAAATAATAGATTAATTAATAATAATTACAAAAACATATATCAAATACATGTAAATAAACATTAAATAATAAAATATATACTTTATTAACATTTAATAATTGTATATACACAAACATTTTAATTAATCTTTAAATATATAATTGCAAATAATAATAAAAAAATACTTAAATGAATAAAGATCAAATTATAATAATTCCTTAATATAATATATTTACAAAACTACACATTTAATATTAATAATAATAAAAAGATAAATAATTATATACTATTTTTATATTACTTACATATGTATTATTATATATATTAAGATTTGGATTCACACATCTAGATTAAATAAATAAATATATTTTAGCAGAGTTTATTTAAATAATCACTGTATTATTATTGTATTTTCTTATTACATTAAAAATATATACACTACATTTGTTACAACAATCAGAAACACCTTAAAAAATAGAATGTTAATTTAAAAACAAAACAAAAACATTTGGGGCCTTTACAGTAATTGAGTGGCATTGCCTTTTGATTTTGGGGTGAAATACGACCTGGACATGAAATCAGCACTGACTGTGTTTGAGCCTGTAAGTGAAGTGACGTTATAAAGACTCACCAGGTTCTGCTGACAGAGACCCTGAAACTGCTGGAACTTCTTAGACATTAAGAGCTGAGCGCTGCCGACGGCACTGCGGACCTTCCCCAACACTACAGGACCACAAAGAGACACGTGAGACTGATATCCATACAATAATCTCAAAGAGCAGCTCATCACGGATTGACTGCGTTTGTGCAGGAGAGAGAAACACATCAGCATTCATGCACCACCATCATCATGCCACTGATTTCCATTCATGACGGGTTCAAACCTAATGACTTTAATCAGCGGCTCCAGGAGCCAAAATGAGCAGACAACAGAAAGGCGTTCCTGATTAAAGCTGGTTAATGAGGCCGCTCGTTTAGCGCGAGAGCGATATCATCCCTTATTCATAGATCCGCCGGGCGGACACGAGGACGGCCAGATAAACCTGCTGCAATTAACAGCAGCTTCCTGTACATTCATTTCACTCCTAACGGCACTGGGAAAACTCTAGAAAAGTCTGAAATGGAGTGTAGCATTAGTTCTGGCAGGTCACGTTAGTCAAGCTCGCATCAGCTGACACTCAGCTGATCAACGTCTACCTATAGGAATACGACGCCAATCATAATTCCCTTTATAAGGTCCTTTCAGTCATTATTCAGCAGCTATCGCTTTGCTCAGGCGCTAATCACCCACCTCCATCCCCAACTCCTCCTCTCGTCTAGTCAGGACTTAGCATTGGATATTTCTTCTTGAGTCAGACCACTGAATTATGTTGATATATAAAATAATCACTTAGAATATTAATGATTAATGCAGCAGATATCATCAATGTTGGTTCTGTTCAGTTTACCCTAGGGGGGTTATTTATGCTAGGCTGCATGGATGGGCAGGGAGTGTTGCCAGAACAGAACCATACCCCCAACCTAAAATGTATGCTAATTTTAAGTTATCTTTAACGATAGTGGTCCTGACAGAATTAATATTTACACAAGTCTGAAAACGTTACACTGTTAATACTATTAAAACAAAAGGAGGTTAAAACAGTAAAAATGTCATTTAAGCTGAGCTTAAATTACATTAGAATTTCTGTGATGGTTTCTATTGTTTTTTTCAGCAGGGTAATATACTGTGCTGCACATTATTGACAATATTGAGCTGAAGCTTGACTTTGCAAATTTAAAATCACAAATCAAATCGCAATCACAATATCTGTCAAAAAAATCGCAATTTGATATTTTCAAACTTATAATATAATATAAACTATAATTTTTTTAATCTTTCATTATTTATATACATGTATATAATTATATTTACAAATAAATAAAATATTTTGTACAATATAATAAGATTTAATGTAAATTATTTATTCTATTATTTATTCAATCGAAAATGTTTCATTAATGTTTCAATCATTATGGATTAGTTGTCGAGTAACTAAAAATATTAACTGAACTGAAATTAACTACATATTTGAATAATTAAATTGAAAATAATTAAATGAACTGCTTTAACAAAATTTCCAAAAGGAATGGATTGGAATTGGTTTGATTAAGGAATTGATTATTTTTATTATAGATTAGTTGTTGAATAATTAAACAGAACCTAAATAATTAAATAATAATATTAATTAATATATAAATAATAAGAATTAAGTAAAAATATTTATATTATAAATATTATTAATATCATTAAAAAACTACTATTATTATTATATAATTCATTATAATAATGAATTTAATAAATTGATTTGATCCATCAGGAATTGCCTGGCTAATGAAATTCATTGTGAGTTATTTTTTATTATCGATTAGTTGAGTAATGAAATTACTTTTTATTAACTGAATAATACTGAATTTACATATTGCGTTCCATATACATTCATATTAAATTACATTACATATTTGAATAATAAAAATATAAATTAATTAAACTAATTTTATTCAACAGGAATTGACTGTACAATCCAATGCACGGTCAGTTTTTATTATCTGTATTTATTATTGATTAGTAATTAAATAAATGTTTGATTAACTGAATAAAAAAATTGAAATTAATTAAATTGATTTAATCCTTTAGGAATTGAAAGGCCAATTAATTAATTGTCATTTATTTTTATTATTGATTAGTTGTTGTGTAATGAAATTACACAATTATTTGAATAATTAACCTGGAATTAATAACCAGGTTATAATAAATAAACTGATTGTATCCATCAGGAATAGACTGGACAGTGAAACTCATGCCCTGCGTCTCAGTGTTCATACTATCCATCCTAAATAGTATGTGAGATTAGAATAAGTGTGTCCCAAAGCATAGTATGTTGAAAAGAGAATGCCAAAAATTCCCAGATGGTCTACTATTTCAGGTCGATTTTTGAAGTGTGGATCCGTGCACACTCTAATGGCTAATATTGCCCACAATCCATTGCGCTTGTGAAAGATTGTCCAGAACTACAAACACGAATAAAACTCATTAAAAAAACTACAAACATGGCGGATGTGCGCGACTGGCGGTTAGGTAGAGAGGCTTAGAAAAAGGGGTTATCCATGCACACTCTAATGGCTAATATTGCCCACAATCCATTGCACTTTGGTGAAGGATTCTGTCCAGAACTACAAACATTAATAAAACGTGTCAAAAAAAAACTACAAACATGGCGGATGTGCGCAACCAGCGGTTAGGTAGAGAGGCTTAGAAAAAGGGGTTTGAGTTACTAATATTCAACATTTAACCTGGTAAAAAATATTTATTTAATGTTATCAGTGTTATATTTCATCTGCAACAGCAATGTAAACTTTTATAAACATCCGTTTGGTCGTTAACCATGTTAACTACGTCAACTAATTTTATACTAGCATAAAATATGAGCAGAGTTCTCGGCATGAAGGACCTGCGACTGGCAGACCAACGAGCTACTTCTTTTCTCTCCAGTACGGTAGGAAGTTAAATGAAATGCAATGTGGAAACTGTGACGATGATTGACAGGCCAGTTTACAGTTACAGGGTGCGTGTAATTATGTGACAGAGCGTCCGTTAAAGTTGTGTGACGTGATAGTATGTCCCAAAGCTTGCCTACTCTTCTACTACACACTCAAAAATACACACTTTTTCTTCACCAAAAGAGTACATACTTTAAGGGCGTAGTATAAGTAGGCACATTGAGACGCAGCAATGCTCTGCCTTCAGCCAGACTCTCTCATAACCCTGCAGGAAAAGGTTCACCCCTCTGTGCCTACAGAAAAATATAAATCTCATGTTAAAAACGAATTAATGTTGGTTTCAGTCAAATTAAACATAAGGAAGATGACAGAATGTTCTCTTTATCTGAATTAGTTCAACAGCATTGCAATTCTCAAGTATTTCTGCTGCCTTCAGCTTTTATAACTTGGGTAATTCATAATGCAATATGGAGAGTAAATGGACTTGTCATAACTCTCTTTGTACAATCTCCCCAAGTTTGCTGCAAAGGAACCATTCTCAAAAAAGCAACTACAGCCCGTTTCCTCTGCTTAGACAACATCTTATGCCACACTGCCCTCTTCGTCTTCTGAGGGCACTCCACCTGACAGAAACACAACTATGTCAAACATTTACTAGTAAAGAACCATACAAACACCAGAAATGGGCAAAAATCTCCACCAAACTGCACTGGTTCATGTTTGAATGTATTAGTGGCATGACCTTAAAATTTTTATTTAATAGTCCACATCCATTCAGATATGGACATACACAATATGTGCCATTAATTATCATTTGCAGCAATTCATTGGCAGTCAGTGTGGATCCGTGCACACTCTAATGGCTAATATTGCCCACAATCCATTGCGCTTTGGTGAAGGATTCTGTACAGAACTACAAACACGAATAAAATGTGTTAAAAAACTACAAACATGGCGGATGTGTGCAACCGGCGTTTAGGTAATGAGGCTTAGAAAAGGGGGTTTGAGTTACTAATATTCAACATTTAACCTGGTAAAAAATATTTATTTAATGTTATCAGTGTTATATTTCATCTGCAACAGCAATGTAAACTTTTATAAACATCCGTTTGGTCGTTAACCATGTTAACTACGTCAACTAATTTTATACTAGCATAAAATATGAGCAGAGTTCTCGGCATGAAGGACCTGCGACTGGCAGACCAACGAGCTACTTCTTTTCTCTCCAGTACGGTAGGAAGTTAAATGAAATGCAATGTGGAAACTGTGACGATGATTGACAGGCCAGTTTACAGTTACAGGGTGCGTGTAATTATGTGACAGAGCGTCCGTTAAAGTTGTGTGACGTGATAGTATGTCCCAAAGCTTGCCTACTCTTCTACTACACACTCAAAAGTGTGTACTTTTTCTTCACCAAAAGAGTACATACTTTAAGGGCGTAGTATATGTAGGCACATTGAGACACAGCAATGGTGATTTATTTGTGAGTGTCTCACCGTCCTCTGACAGCTGTTTGTCTTTGGTCTCCTGGTCCATCTGCTGACACCAGGCCTCCATGCGGTCCGTCTCGGCCTGCAGAAGTTTCTGGAACCAGCGTCCGTCCCTGAGGCACGCCGGGCCCCCAGGCTGCTCCACGGCCCCGTTCACGCTGCCGCTCCCAGCCTGCAGAGACGGGTCGGGTGGCGGGAGGCAGGAGGGGTCCAGCGCCGGATCCAGCTTCTCCTGCAGCGAGGCGGAAGTGGCGCGCATCACATCCGCGCGGGGGGGTTTGTGAACGCTGACACCGTCCAGAGACTGGTTGGGCGTCTTGTTCTCCAAAGGTTTACCGTCGGACTGCTCCTGGGATTCGGCCTCTGTCGTCTCCTGTCTAGACGCCATGCTAGTGTAGCGACTGAGTCTGGACACACAGAGAGAAGAGACACTGAGCCACACTCAAACTACACACTTCCATTAGCTTATGAATCCATTATGCGAAAATCAATCAGCTGGGGCCTGTACCATGAAGTCTGATTAGCTGCCTAGCCAGGTAAGTTTCAGTTTAGTTTGCACCAATCCTGGGTTTTAGGTACCATGAAAGTGGCTTGGCTTTTAGCGGCATCCATTGCCTTAGTAACTTACACTCCATAGCTAACCTGCTCTGGGGCAGGTTATGTTCTGGTTTAGAGATCTCGAACTGAAATCTGACCAATCAGCTTCAAGCAAAGTGACACATCTCGGAGTCTGATGCAATAAATATTATCAACTCTATAAACTAACTTTACAACTTTTACTTGCACTTATAAGGCAAGATGTTTTCTTTAAGTTTTCCTCTTTCATGGATAGATCGTTTCATCTTGTATATGTGTTTAAATTCTTCATATTTAGGGCTGTCACGATTATGAGATTTGGCTGACGATTAATCGTCTAAATAGTCACGATTATTGCGATTAATTGTCTGTTTTTTTTATGGCTTTCATTATATAATTGTTTTAAGGGTTCAGTAAATAATTATGATGTTATCTTTTAATCTTTTTTGAGTTATTATTTTGCAGTGTAAGATTACATAGAGAATTCCAAATTCTAGTGGTTAAACGGATCGTAGTTGATCCGTGATCTGTACGGACCAAGCCCCACGGTTCGGCACGTATGTGATCCGCGGATTAATTGCAAAATGTAACCATAATAGAGTATAAGTTTATAATTTGTTCGTATTTACATAAGCAAGCAAATTTTGAACAATTCCAGAGAGAAAAGGCGAAAAGGAACTCGATTCGTTACTCGCGCGCTCTTCTCTTAACGCACAGCCGCGCAAACATGAAGCACGCACACGCGTTTCAGACGGCGCGCGAACACCGAACTGAATCCTCTTCTGAATCCTCTGAACAGACACATACACATAGAATTATGACAAAATACCCATCTCGACAATCATTCAGAATTGGCCAATACCGATCCAACACCAGCGCTATTTTTTTTCTACACCACTACAGAATATCAATACTGTGTTTGTGGAACTAATGGTCACTCTTTCTTTAAACCCCTTGTTAAACATAATCCACTAAATACTCACTTCCTCATTACAGAGAAAAATTACACTTGAATAAAAATATATAAGCTATGAAATTAAACTAGCTGACTTTATAATTTAGCAGCAAAAACAGTATCTTGAAAAATATCTTTGGTGCACATTATACAATTTAAACATGTTTATTCTGTTAACTATTTGTATTCTTACAAAATACGCTGCCTCGATTGCATTCAAAGCGGCTGTAGAAAGAGTTTAACTCGTCAGCCAGCGACGGGTCTGCTCTCACAGCTGCAGAGGATTTATTTCCAAAGGCACAGATGGTCCTCAGTCCCTGCCACATGCGTCGAGAGTCATTTAGCTGGAAATGAGACTCTATTCGTTCCCTGTATCGGAGTTTGGCGGCTCTTACCGCCCGTCGGAGATCATAGCACGATGCTTTGTACTCACTCATGTTCCCCGACGACAGACCGGCGTTGTATGCGGCAGTGCGTTTGTTTACTGCAGCACGGATTGTTCTGTCCACCCACGGTTTCTGATTTGAGAAGGTCCTTATAGTTTTTGTATCTGTTGCTTGTTCGGTTAGCGTGTTTACAAAGCTTAATGCTACATCCGTGAACTCGCTGACGTCAGATGAACTCGCTCTGAACATGTCCCAGTCGACGTCATCAAGAGCCGCCTGTAGCATAGCTTCTGAGTGGGAGGACCAGCGCGTCACTACTCTCTGCATCCAGGGTGCAGAATGGTGCACTTGAAGCAACATGGAGTCACAGCGCTTATGCACATCCAGGGTGCAGAATGGTGCACTTGAAGCAACATGGAGTCGCAGCGCTTATGCACATCTAGGGTGCAGAGCTTGAAGCTTGAAGCAACATAAGTCACAGCGCTTATGCACATCCAGGGTGCAGAATGGTGCACTTGATAAGTCGCAGCGCTTATGCACATCTAGGGTGCTGAATGATGTGCTTGAAGCAACATAAGTCACAGCGCTTATGCACATGCAGGGTGCAAAATGGTGCACTTGAAGCAACCTGGAGTCGCAGAGCTTATGCACATCCAGGGTGCAGAATGGTGCACTTGAAGCAACATAAATCACAGCGCGCTGCACTCCACACGGTAACGTTACAAGAGAAGTAAAATGAGAGAGCAATGAACTCCAGCAAGATGTCCTTTTATGCAAACCCCCAGACCTTTATCTACACATCAAGTATTATAATGGGAATATATCATCTTGGAGAGAGAGTTTTACCGTGCTG